CACACACACACACACACACACAGAGGAAGAGGTTTACGTGTGTATGCATGGAGTGCCGCTGCGAGCTAAAGCTCTGTTTGCTGACCTTCAGGGTTATCTGGAAGGCTCCTCCACACCTTGCCGCTGGCACAAACCCCCGCTGTCACCATGGAAACACAGCTAGCAGGGACAACGTGTGCCACCGTCCGGCACGATGCTCGAGTGAAATCAATTTACACAAGCGCCTATGGACGATTACACACGCACTTATGATCGCTATCTACAGGAAAAACACACGCCCTCTTTAACACACACAGTTCACTCTCTATCTTGTCCTCCACTTCATTTATCCCTCATTTCTTTCACTCTCCTCTTCTCTCGCCAACTGAAACCACAAGGATGACACAGAATTCAAGCCCCCCGGTAACCATAGAGGCCCCCCGGYCCTCTACAGCTTTGTCGGGAGGGTACAAGCAACCCTGTCTTCATTATTGGAAGCATTATTAGCTTGCTGTGACGAGAGACAGTCATCTGCCACCTTGCACACACACACACACACACACACACACACACACAGCAGACACAAAGAAACACAACTTACAGTCTCATCACCACCGGATCACTGGAATTTATTTCAGCAGCAGCAGCAGGGGAGCTCTGGCACACGTTGACAATAAATCAACTCATCTTACACTCTGAAGTGACAAGTCAAGGCAATACAGAAAAAAAGAAGAAAAACTGTGATTTGGGTGGAGGTAAGAGTTTTTCCATCATGGTGGCCCAAATGATTGGCTGGACAGAGAGGAGAGACGGAGAGAAAAATAAATAAAAAAATGGACGGATTTGATGCGCTTTCTTCTCTCTTCACTTCTTCTCCACTCGCTTCTGCATTCTTTGCATCTCTCAGCCATGATTTGTCAAAGAGCTCTGGAAAAAAAAGTGAGAAGAAACACAAGGAAGCAGGGGGAAGGGAGGGTGAACAAGGAGAGAAGCTGTCAAATTAGGAATTTACATCACTGGAAGCAAAAAGTGGAGACTCGCAGGAACCTGGATTGCCAAAACCTCTCACATGAATATGGCAGCTGTGAGGTCACGCCGCACATTTACCAAAATAACAAGAAAGTTCACGTTTCACTGCAGGAGGTTAGCCTGTTTTACTCTGAAGGCATGCGGCTCATTAGTCAGAAGCTTTCTCTAGGAGGGAGAATCGGCAAATCATCAAAATAAATGTTCAACTAACTAACAAGGATTCTGTCAAAAATATCACCAAACCAACATTTGGATTTATTTTTTGCAATTTTTCTGATTGCCTGTTTTTTTGAAATATAGAAATGATTTTAATTGAAAATGCCCTCCCTTTTATTTTGAAATGTGAAAACGGAGTAAAATAAACATAACAATTTGTATTTTCAACACTTTATTTTCACTGGTCTGAAGTGAGATGAYATAAAATATTAGGCTTTTAAAAATGTTGATGTTGACTGGTTTTTAACCATTTAGYTATAAAGTCAATTATATATCCAAAAAGATAGAGGGGGATGAAAAAGATGTAAACGAACYTGATGAATACATATTCACATACAGATAGAAAAGTTAGTTTATTAGATAACTGTTTCTTTAAAAGTTTGGACATTTTTACTGCATGAAAGTGATTGGGGCAACTTGGGGCAAATAAATCGTTTAGGAAAAACCCTAAAATACACTGGATTTATGTTCTGACCAGTTATTTTTTGAGTTAACAGCAGCAAAGCRCCAACATCTATAAAGCTGTCAAAGAACTAACTGTTGAGTCAAAAGGTGAAAACTTGGACACCATGAGCCCTCTGACTGTTGGAAATCATGTGGCCCAAATATCATCTGTAGAGATGAACCCTTCAGCTGATGATGTCATCAGTCAGGAACTTCCTGACCTGCTGAGACTGCTTATGGAAATGTGCAGCAGCAGAGAACGACACCATCTATTTTAATGAACCCTGGATGGGAACAATGTATTCTTGTGTGGGTCAGCAGGTACCGGCTGGTCCCATGACCATGACTTCTCACCTACACAGCTGGGTTTCTCCTTCAAGAGAGTGAGCTGTAAAGTCTGGGAAATACATTTCTTTGTTTTAAGCTCCAATTCTTGTCTAATCCTAATTTGTATTCTCTGTAGCAGCCATTTTATTGTGCTTATTGATCTATGTTGGATATTTATATCAGATGCAAGCACTGTACAGTGTCTGAAAAAACACAGTGGCAACATAATGAATGATAAAATTGATAGTTATYTGTGATAAATTGATTTTTTTTWATTTCTGTCTGTGAAACAGCAAGAAGAAGGGAATTAAAAGTAAAATGAATTACCTTAAAGTACCTGGGACATGCATATCCTCCAAATACAAAAAGTAAAAGAAAACTTATTTATATTAAAGTAACTTGGGATAACACACATTAATTTACTCATTTTGTCACATAAATGGCAGATTTTCTTTTGAATTTGGCTCAGCCAAAATTAAACAGGAAGTGACATGAAAGAGGAACTCTTTAAGAAAGTGAACTCCGTCGTCTTTTTTTATTGCAACAACATTTGAACTCTGATTCGTCTTGGTCTCTCTCTAATAGTGACACAAAATAATGTAAAGAAACAACAGATTGTTCTCTGCAGTTTGTGTTGTTAGCCGTTGTAGCAATGCTCTGTTCACCTGCAGACACGCCCCTTTGACATCACTTCCTGWTTCTTATAATACTAATAATACATCAAACATAAATAGCATTTTTTAAAGACACTGGTGGTAGTAAGCTACAATGTAGCCACAGCTGCCCTGGGGCACGCTGACAGAAGTGGCACCATGAGTAGGCAAGGCAGGTTAAATGTCTTGCCCAAGGACACAACGGCAGAGACAGGTGGAACAATATGTTGGCAATGTTATCTTTCCAAAAATTCATAATCATTACAAAAATATTGTGTCACAGGCACTTTAATAAAAACTAAAAAGGACTCATAAAAATAAAAACCACACCAAATGTTTCAAGGGCTAAGAAGAAGTCTTGACTGATTTATTGATTCTTGTTCTTAGCATAGATGGAACTGTTTARTTCATAATAAACTCAACACTTATAGAAAAAAAAAAAGGTGTGGTACAGGTAATGTAATTAACAGTTAAAATTATGTGTAAACGATGCAGTCACACAATAACATTTATTTTGGGTTTCTTAATTTTGGAACAGAACCTGAGCACATCAAAGGGAGATTACCTAACGCACCGTCACAGATTTTATTTTCATCAAATCTATTTTCATGTGACTTGGCAGCTTTTTTAAACAGACAAAATTAGTAAGCATTTGTTTTGGTACGTAAATCTGGAGCGACGTGACGATGCAACAGTTGTTCTTCAGAGAGCCGGGCAAATCCAGACTGCAGCTAAACTCGCTTTGTTTCCATACATGAACAAACACCCAGTCAGAGGCAGAGACACGGGGCGACTCGGGGTTAGTGAAGCATTAGCTTGTGGCTGCCGGGTGGGCTAGTTGGCATGCTAACTACCTCTGTGCTCTGCTGGCAGGCAGATATGCTGGCGGGTAGGTTAGCTGTTCACTTGCCAAGTGCATCCGAGGGCATCGCAGGCCGTGCCTTTGAATTGGAGATGAGTGGCAAATGTGACAAGAGGATTTAGCTTTACTGTTCCACTCACGTCCTGACATATAAGGGGGGGGGGGGGGGGGCAGTGTGTGTCTGCATGTGTGCGTAAAAACTATCTGTGTGAAGGTGGATGCTAATGCGTGCAGGGGTTTACGTACAAGNGTGTGTTTGTGTGTGTTTTGCAAAGACATTGTGTCGGCAGGGTTGTTGGTATTGCGGCACTTCTGCACATTAAATCTAATGCATAGTGTATGAAGTGGCTCCTGAATTTCAAACTGACCCCTAGCACCTCCCACTGTGCACGCAGCTCAATGTGGTGCCCCAGGTCTACGTTTGGACTCCTGCCATCCACACTTGGATAATTTAAAGACAGGAAAAGCTTTTTTGTGCACAACACCTTGAACAGTGAGGGCAGCCAGATACTCCACCTCAAGGTCTGCCCTGAATTTTAGCTGCTGCTTTATTAGGTACAGCAAGTGACAGCATCTGCATTTTAATAAAACTGCAATGCAAAAAAAAAAAAAAAAAACAGGTCTCAGACTATCACAGTTTTAGGTACTGCAACGTCTGATTTTTTTTTTTATAAGGTACTGGTAATTTGCTCTTAACTCATTCACACTTTATCTACTTTTTACAGCAGCTGAAATGAATATTTAGATTATAGAAGTATAAAAAAATCAAAGCTGAGCAAAGCTTCAGTACTCTGATAAACTTAGAATAAATGTAAAAAGACTCAAAAATACAGGCAAACGCACATTTTCATTGCCATCTAATTAGTTAGCTGTGAGAAAAGGAAGTGGATGTCATACCTCTGATAAATGTGTTTGTTTGTTTTGTTGGGAATAAGGTTTGTTCATCAACACTGTGAAAGCTACAGTGTGCAGACGCTGGGTGTGCTGACACTTTTACCGCTATAAGCTAACGAGCAGCAGAGACATCTGCAGCAAATAGAAGAAGGCCTTCACTCACACACACTCACACATACGCACACACAAACTAGGCGCACTCACTGGTCTTTTCCCTGTGAAAAATAAAAATAATAGACAAGTAGAGAATCAATAACTGTCTTCTCAGCTCAGTGCTAACAGCACTCAGCTCCTGCCTTCTCGCTTAGGGGACAGAGACAGTTGCCAGAACTGACAATCAGCCACTCAGCTGCTGTGGCTATGACTGCTTTATAAACACAGACATTCACTGATTGTACAGCAGCCAGTTAAGGACACCTGTAAGCTGCCTGGTTATAAACAGAAAACAAACCATTTTTAGCTCACATTTTCAGGAAGCAGAAGAAGCAAAAAGTGAACTGAAAAGTTTCATCTTCCTCATTCATATTGTTGATTTTTAGTCGTTTTTCTGACAGTCAGAAGGATTTCTGGGACAGATTATTGACGGCTGGAATCAGGTTCTTCCCATATCATTAATAAATAGAGCTAAACCAATAAACCATCTGATATTGTCCACTGTGAATACCAGTGTGTAAAAAAATGACCAATTAGGAAAATGAAAACGCTGCAGCAGCCACTAAAGCTTGCTAGACTTATTGAGTTAAACTATTGTCATATATTGTTAAATTTATTTTATTTTTAATTCTTTATTTTCACACACACACACAAAAAATATATATAAGTTTCTCAAAACAGATGTGATGGAGAAGAAAAAAAGGTAAAATTGTACAATTGTATTGTGTATAAGCTATCAGCTGCTCTGAACATTTAAAAGTAGTCTGTGCATGTTGATTTAAGCTCAGAGCTTTCCCTGTAGGTTACCATTTTTTTAAATTTGATTTTCTTTATTCTAATTTTTTTTCTGTTATTTAGGGTCCAGATGAAGCAAATGTGTTTTGAAAATTTACCAAAGCAGACTGTGGCCCAACAGCATAAAAACACAAGACGACACAGTGCAGCTGTTCTTTTTTCTTAAAAAAACAAAAAGATTAATCTGATTTGTCTTTTAATAACCACCAATCAGCATCTTTAACACAAAAACCTGCAGATAATAATCAGCCTGATCAATTGGTGCAGCCTTACAGATTTACATACCCAGCTATTTCAAAGCAACATCCTTGGCTATCTGGCAAAAACAGGACTATCATTCATTCTTAATTAGATGTGTTTTATTAGATGTGTTTCCAGTCTCTGGCCTCCAATGACAAAAAAGGATATAATGAAGAAGGGGAGGAGTAGATCTGTGCATACCATAAAATATAAAGAGCAAGATTATAAATAGAGTACATATTTATGTCAGCTGCTTCCTGTTTCTAATTAATTAATTAATACACACCTCCTGATACAACCTGGGCTTGAACCTG